TCACTCCCTGCAGGTGTACTGCCACCCCCATCGTTTGCAGTGCCAGAACCATTGGCAGTCTCTGTGTCTGAAGATTCGGGAGAAGGAGAAGTGGGTTGTGCTGTTGCTGTACTCTCCGCGTTGACTGCACCTTCACCTGCTGGAGTGTTGACGTTGGCTCCAGTTGGACCTCCAGATGGAGACGAACCATTACTCCCTTCCCCAGCAGCACCAGCAGCAATAGGAGGAGAAGGAACAGGAGGTGAAGGAGCAGCAGGATGAGCAGAACCATTACTACTACCAGCAGGAGGAGCATTAGAACGACGCTGTTCATCACAATATTTAGTAATATCACGAGGATTATCACGTTCAACAGCAGCATTAGTTTCGGGAGGAGGAAGACATTTATCACCAGAGTTAGAAGAGGTAGAAGAATGTTCATGCCCTCCAGCTTCAGCAGCCGCCATGCAAACAGAGGCAACACTCATAAGTAGAGCCAGAAAATACAATACACGTCGCACCTGCATCTTTACAAAGAAATATTCTTTTAGTTCTTTGTGGGTAGTTAACCTGGACGAAGGAAAAAAAGAAATCGTATAGGAAAAAACAACGAAATAGAGAGACACAAATAGAGGAAGAAAAAAGAATAGAAAAACAAACAGAAGTCATAAGAAACACAAACAAATCAACATAAACAATAAAGAAAACTTTTATAGTGGTAACGTGGAGAATTAAAAAGCAAAACAAAAAAAAAGGAAATTAAAAGCAAGACCAACTTACCCAGTAAATACACAAACCACCGTGAACACCAGTCATGCTTGAGGTCCTATGCAATTATGAATATAAATGCTTCATTTATTAGTTTTATTAATTCCCAGAGCAAATCAACATCAGTGGAGCAGGGCACAAAACACACAACCACCCCAGCAAACGAAACAAGCAAAGAAAAATATATTAACCATTAGCCCAACTTACACAGTAAACACAGAAATATACACCAACTATGGGTATACGTCTATATATGTGTGTATATACGCAATTATAAATATAAATTCATCTGTTATTATTCATATTTCCTTTTCTTTCCACTGCAAAAAACAGTTCATCATCATCATCGTAGTGCAAGCCCAGATGCACACACAGAGAGTCTCCAAGAACACACACACACACAATGGAGTAGCCATAATAATTATTATTATAGGATAAACACAGAGAGCAAAAAACACACACAAAACACATTAACATTAAGAAACAAAAAAGAATGAAATAAATCCCAACAGGTGGAAGATTAGTTAGACTGTAGTGTGGATGCATGCAAAAAGAGAAAACAAAGGATGACCTGAGTCATACCATCACCATTACCACAATCAGCACACAAGAATACAGGCCAGTGTAAACACAATCAGTAGTGGCACACGCACCCACACAGAACTGCTGATACTGCTGCTGCTGTCTGCATCACTCTTCTTGTTGTTTGTGAGTTCAGGAGGAAGTGTTGTTGTTGTTGTGGTGGTGGTGGTGATAGTTGATTCTTCATTAGCTGGGTTACTTGTTGATTCACTCCCTGCAGGTATAGTGCCATTCCCTGGTGATGCAGTATCAGAACCATCACCACTCACTGTGGCCGAAGTGTTAGGAGAGTCAGCAGAAGGTTGTTTCTCCGCAGTTTCATTGTTATCTCCATTTCCACCCTCACGCGGTGTATTGTTGCCGTTGCTTCCAGTTTGGTCATCAACTGAAGGCCCAACAACACTCCCCTCAGGAGGTTGAGGAGCAGCAGGAGGTGTAGGAGTAGGACCAGGAACAGAAGGGTCAGAAGAAGAAGAAGGAACAGAAGGTTCAGAAGTACCCGCCGCAGATTCTCCTGGTTCACCAGAAACACCAGTGGAACCTGGTTTACCATTTAGATTACCTTCTCGTTGAGGATTATGAGTAGGTTGACCCGGTTCATGCTGTGGTTGTGTACAAGGGTGATCAGATCCATCACGGCAACTGTCTTCCTTCTTAGGATCCTTAGGAATACAAGTTTCCGACTCAGTAGACGTCTCACAATTAGGACTAGAAGGACCAGAAGCACTACGGCCGGCATTACAGTTAGTATCTGAAGTACAAGTACCCTCAACATCAGAAAGTGTAGGAGGAGGAGGACCAGGTGGTGGTGGTGGACCCGGAGGAGGAGGTGGTGGAACAGGAGAAGGGGCAGGTGGGCAAGTTTGACCATCAGGAAGAGAATCAGCACCTTTAGCACAAGGACCATCGGCAGGAGAAGAATCTGCCACAGCTGTCACACACAAAGAGACAACACTCAACAGCAAAGTGAGAAAACACAATACACGACACATCATCACGACAGCAAGATTTAGTTTGTAGTTATATGCCACTTGAATGAAGAAGAAAGAAGAAATTAAGAAAATTAATGGAAACACTCAATACATTAGAAACACACACAGAGAGAAACAAAGGAGAACAAAACTCACAACAATCAGTCACACAAAACAAGAAGAGGAGCAAACAAAAAAAAATCAGTAACACCGAAAAAATAATACTCCACCATCACTCAGAGTACAACGAAAGAGCACCCCACAATACCCTAATAAGAGAGAACCAAACACACACAATACCACATGACTCTAGTTTATGTACTAAATTACTGCACACACACACACACACATCTGTGTGTACTAGGAAGAGATGTATACCGTCAGTGAGCAGAACAGCCCAGTTTTCTGCAAACACACACAACGGAAAAAGCAAGTAATGGAATTAAAAAGTAAAAGAAAAAAGAAATTCGAATTAAAAGAGAAAGCTGGTAAACAGATTATTAGTTTTTTCACCCATGGGGGAT